CTTGTTTTCTCTTTCTTTTTCTTACTTGACTGTGTGAACCCCTGCGTGTTGATGTGTGCTGTCTGTCTCTGGTTTTCCATTTTTATCTGGCATTCATTTTTTTTTATGTTGCTCATTCTTACCGCCTGTTTATTCTCCTTTATCTTTGAAATAAAAGTACAAAGACATCATGTTTCTTTACCATCTTTGTATCCCTGTGCTCTGTCCTCCTGTGCGTCTGTCACAGTGACACCTGTCTCTTGCATTAGCATCAAAGACTTTACAACATCAAATCCAATACAATTGTAGATTGTCTTGAGTGTTAGCAGACTAGGAAGATTTCTCACTATATGTGCACATACTTGTACTGATGATTGGAGTAAACACAATACAAATGGCTAGAAAACAGTGATGACTTAAAATAAGGTAACTAAAGCTACATGTTCTGTTCTGATATAAGCATTTTTTTAAACGTTGTCACTTCTCTGACTAATTCGTATACATAATGTCTTTCAATTCACATTGGTGCCACTGAAAAAGGCACTAGTATAACCATTACATATTTTCAATGTAACAATGTACTTCTTACGAGCTACGATACCCCTCTGGATAAGACTAGCTGCACAAAGCAAATAGTACATCTGGATGGTGAGTGTCTGCTGCACCTGCTCCTACATGAGTAGAACTCTTAGAGCAGCACCTTTTCTTTTTCAGCTTCGGTATCTACATTCAGCTAATCATTTCGCATAAGAGGTGATAAATTAAAGTTATTATTCTCTGTGGTGTGCCTTTTGCACCTGCCCCCTTTTTTCCCCGTACAGGTGCCTCAAAGGTGCTGAACAGGCCTGTAGCGGAGTATTCTGCCTTAGCAGCTGAACTCAAATGATGTATATGTATGTATAGCTCTGGGAAAAAATAAGGGAGCACTGCAGCATTATCAGTTTCTCTGGTTTTACTATTTATATGTACGTGTAAAATGTTGTAATTGTATTGTCTTTTTTAAACTACTGACAACATGTCTCTGTGTTGGAGTTCAATAGACACTAGAATGGAATGGCTGCCATACATGTAGAGATTGAGATTGGAGTGGTCTCTTAATTTCTTCCGGAGCTGTATATATCATATTTAAGTGTTCATCTGCAGGAACAGATGGATAGCCATATGCATACATACATTTGCCAAGACATATATGCAAAGAATTTCAGTCATCACAGATGGGAGAAAGTTGTCTTTGACACTAGTGGAGGTTTCCAAAGGTTGAGCGCGAGGTCTCAGCACAACACTTGGTTGGTTTATTCTTTTTTTTCCAGCCGTGTGCTTCCCTGTGTACCAGCAGCACCATAGTGACGTGCTGTGGTCCAGCCAGTCCTTTCTCTCAGCCCACATACAGCAGAGAGCCACTTCACTTGCTCTGACGACGGAAATGTAATACGCCTGGATCGTTTCATCCAGCAAGAGAGCGAGAAAAGATAGAAATGCAGCGCTGGGATGTCACTCGTGTGCATGCAGCTGCCCTCTTAAAACTCTCTTCTGCAATTTTATCGCATTTCAGTGCCCAGACAGCTGTCAGACGAATGACATGTTTTACATCCACCACAATTTGTACATTTTCATCAGCCTAAAATAGCTCATAAAGCCTTTATTTTTTTACAGGCCATTTCATTTCTGGCGTCTTCATTTCTTAGGGTTGATCCGATGTTGCATCAGAATGATTGCCATGGGATTCCTTATATGAGGAGGAAGAGAGTCATAAAAAAAAAGGGAGAAATGAATGATACAGAGCAGGAATGGAGAGGTTGGTAAAGGGACATCTAGAGAGGGGGCAAGAGAGAGGAGAAGATTTGTGAGGAGGAGGCGTGGGGAAGAGGAGGCGGGGGGGGCTGAGGGCCAGCAGAGTCAGAGATAAGAGGCTGCGAGAGTGATTGAAATAGGATTAGTGGAGACAGGCCCTGCATCCCCCGGCCACAGCATCACAGTGTTAAACCTGTGCTTCACAGGCACTGCCTCTGTCACATCAAAGCCTCCCCAGGCCTGCCTGGCAGAGAGGCGAAGGAGTCACCAGCAGGGTCGTCCACACACACACACACACACTCACACTCACACACACTCACACTCACACACACTCACACTCACACTCACACTCACGCTCACACACACCACATACATGATGGGCTGATCGCATTCACCATCCGTCTCCAATATGCCTCCATTATGGGCAGGAAGCCGGCTCCTTCACCCTTGCATCCACCTTTTGATTTGGCTGCAGTGTCTTTGTGGTGTCTGTGCATTTGGAGCGCGGATCGGATGCATTGATGAGCCATCTTTAACATTTAATGAGGCAAGCAGTGATGAGTTGGCATTGGAAAGCTACTGTCTCCTGCTTCCCGAGAGTCCAAACAAAGTTTTAATGAGAACTTTCCCCCAATTTGTGCCAAAATCACTGAGCTTTTTAACTGCTTCCCAGACTGAAAGCATACAACCTTTTTCTGAAGCGGGGGGGACACCTGTGTGCAAATAAACTAATATGCATACAGGGACAAAAAGAGTAGTTAGCTCAGTGGCTCGCATGTAGAGCTGGGCAATAAATGAATATGATATATATATATCGTTATCTATATGTGATTTGCTTTTCATATTATTGACATAAACCTTAAATCCTGGCTTTTCCAGTTGTTAACCACAGGTTTTATTTTATACTACCATTTGAGTGTTCTGGCTCATATTATTTAAAGGAGTTTCCTGATAGTTTAAATATTTTCAAAAAATATCCCCATTTATGCCATTGTTAATTCCCTTGTGGTTACTGTATCCATAAATCATTTCTACATCTTAACTAAATCTCTTTATTCATCTTTCTTGTGCTATAAAGGGTGCTATTTTGTTTCTCAAGTACAATCAAATGCTGCAGTTGCTCACCAGCTCTGCATGTGCTCCATGAAATGAGCGCTCACTGTTCCATATTCATCTCGTTTACTTATTCTTGAGTGTCTCACTATGATCAGATGTTGCACGTAAGACCTGTTCTGCTGCACTAGATTATGATCCCTATAGCTAAAATGGTCTGTTTATCTGCTGAAAATAGACAATCCACTGATTGGTGAGTGCTGTCTCTGTGTGAGCATATTTTGTGTGAGTATGTGTGTGTGTGTGTTGGTACTTGCACAGTGTTTGTGTGTTTGCGCTGGTAGTTTTCCTCTCGGAGCTCATCAGTTCATATCCACCACCCACCCCACCGCAGCATGCAGTAAATAGAGTCTCCGCCACTCGTTGAGAAATGGCACAATTATCCCCTGCTGGTGAAATATGGGCCTGTGTGTGTGTGTGTGTGTGTGTGTGTGTGTGTGTGTGTGTGTGTGTGTGTGTGTGTGTGTGTGTGTGTGTGTGTGTGTGTGTGTGTGTGTGTGTGTGTGTGTGTGTGTGTGTGTGTGTGTGTGTGTGTGTGTGTGTGTGTGTGTGGTGTGTGTGTGTGTGTGTGTGTGTGTGTGTGTGTGTGTGTGTGTGTGATGTGTGTGTGTGTGTGTGTGTGTGTGTGTGTGTGTGTGTGTGTGTGTGTGTGTGTGTGTGTGTGTGTGTGTGTGTGTGTGTGTGTGTGTGTGTGTGTCATATTTTTGCAGCTTACTCATTGTGAGTGGTGTGAGCAGAGAACAGTTCTCGCTTATGGATCTATACACATGCATGCATCACATACACAAGTGTAAATGCACATGCAGGGTTGCAGCTGCTCACTCAGATACATGCAGTATATGCACACATGCAGATTGGCACGTGCACACTGCGCTCCTCAGTGTGCACACAATGCAGAATGTTGCAGATTTAGCTGAGACAAGCAGATAGAATAACTCACTGTCAGTCAGACTGTAAGGTCAATCTTTCAATTCAAAAAATTCACAGCAACCCACTGTGCATGAAGACATGGCAAAAAGGAAATATAATACCTTTCAGTTCTCAGGAACTATACAGCACTGACATTAGCACAATAGGCTTTTGTGAACAATGTTCCCTTTGTGTTAGGTTCCACGTAGAAAATTAATACATTTTGTACTAACTTTATGTCATTTTAGTCATCAGACCTCCATCAGGCAAAAAATATCAACTGTAAGCAAACAGCACATGAAATACCAAGCACCAATTATTACGCTTTTATTGACTGACCTACATCTGCGATATGATTCCAAATGTTTTTATGTAAATATTCTTATTTTCATTATACATATATCATGCTGTGTATTTTTGAGCAGATATTTATTTGAATATTGCACCAATCCATATTGTTTAACGTATCAACATGTATTGTACAGACCAACCCAGCATCCATACAAAATAAGGTCAATAAGATCTATTCATTGTAAACAAACCCTTGTACTGAGCTACTCCAGCTATAAACAAGAATAATATGTATACAAATATCAAAAGACAATATTCTTACATTCAAGTAATTGAAAGGAATTCCTCCATATAAATCAAACAGATGTAAATACTATAGAAAATACAGTATTCAAGGAGTAAACAAATACCAAACAGATACGATATTGACTTAATTGTAAATTCCATGCTTGCTGTCGGTTTTATTCATAATAAAATGAATGTAAACATGAATCTGTTCACTCTGTGGGAGCTGATTAATAGTCGCTTCACTAGAAAAGACTGGTTTCCTCTATTTTACAGAAGGGAAATAAATTACTCAGACATTTATAGTTTGTACTGCATACTATTAAAACAGCTTTACTTTTTAAATTGGTCACTGTGCCTGTATGCTTTTAGACCTTTTCCAAATGTTCGGTGAGTCGCTCAAATGTCAGAGGGCTGCACATTCAGCCGTAGACATAATGTTATTAACCTCAAGTGATTGCTTGTTCCAATAACTTTTGACATTTGTGTGACTTTGCAAATTGCTAGTTGCAACTAAATGGCAGAAATGACAATAATGGGACATCTACTTTTACCATGGGATGACAATTTTAGTGAACTATGTCAAAATACTGTAGGTCAAAAACACTCAATTTAATTTCTCTGTCTTACAGGTATGGAAAAATAGTGTCAACCAAGGCCATTCTGGACAAGAACACCAACCAGTGCAAAGGTAAGTCATTACTTGAGTGTCGTGTACACCCACCTTGTTTAAGTGCAGCAGCTATCACTCTTAAGTCTATGTCTTGTCACGGTTAACAGCACTACAAGCCGTAAATGTAGACATCAGCCGAGGAAGCCTTGTACCGTAAATCAGTGATTTAGCGAGTAGCTGGCTTAACACTGCAGGAAGGCTCGGGGTAAACAACCTGCTCTGTGATGTCGCTGCCCTGCTTCAGAGGAGGATAAGCAGCCCCTCCCTGTCTCCTCTTCCATTTCCTGTTTTGTAATATGGAAGACAATCTTTTGCTGTGTTTCTGTAAAAGGTCCATTAGTGTCTGCACAGTCCATGCAGCGATGACATTAGTGGCTCATTTTGAAGTTGTTTCTTGAGCACACACACACTACACACATTTACATGCTTGAACATACGCACACACTCGAGGGCTAACAAGGTTGTCGGGATTTGATTAACTATTTGCTATCATTGTCACGCTCATCTTCGTGGCGTCTTGGCGTCTATCGTTACTTCAGCCACCTGCCTCACACGGCTGTGAATACATCTCACACGTTTATTTTTCATACGTTTATTTTTCATACAATCAGTCGGTAATGATCAAAAAGAGCTTGGTCTATAGTAAAGAAAGAGAGAGAGATGGAGTGAATGGAGCGACGAGAAGAAAAAAAAGATTTGCCCTGAGGTGTCTGGCAGCACTGTTTAAGAGCTATTGAAGTTCCATCAATACTTTTAATTGCTTTTTGTGGTTTCCCGGGCTCTGAAGTGTGGCCTTCCAAGGTGAAGCTGCCTTCTTAACCCCGCTCCACTCCTGAGTTTATCCTGCAAGGCATGCTCAGGGTCAACATGTTGAGGGAAATAACCTCTGCTTGTTAGAGGGGAGGGGGAAAAAAAGGCTTGATTATCTCGACAGGTCCTTTTTGTAAGTCCTGCAGGCCATTAAAGACAAGACTGGATGCATGTTGGCTGGAAGGATGTATCTACAGGTCCAGGACAAAGCACAGGGTGGATTAAAGAGGTGTTGGGGGGGGGGGGCAGGGGGGCGAGGCTGTTTAAAAGAGAGAGAAAAAAGGTGAAACTCTTTCAATTTCTGAAAGAACTACTCTGGCAATGATCAAAGGTTTTTTACTCACTGTGAGTTATGCACAGCACACACAAAAAATCAGCTCAGCTTAGCACTGTGTTGTGTGGGGAGACAATGTTTCCCATAAGTCATCCTCCTGGAATGTAGCGCTGCAGAGATGCCAAAAGGCAAATATAAGCAGACGTATTTTATGAGTGGAAAGGCTGGTCCCACTGAGAGAGAGAAAGAGAGAGGGAGATGGACAGAGGGGAAGTGAGAGTGTGAGGAGAAGGACTTAGTAACCTTGAAGAGAACATTTGAAAGACAAGTTAAGGAGACGAGAAGCAGCACAATAACATCATTTCTGCTGCTACCACTCGGCATCCGTATCCAACTATCTCTCGAGAGTTGAGCCGTTATCAAAGCATAAATGAGCCAAGCAGGTGTATGGAAGCCTGATGGGCTGGCGTGCGTCTGCACCCCCCGTGACAAAGAGGAATCGCCACATCGCCCTGATCTAGTCACGCATTGTTTCCTGTCATCTGACCCCCCCGACCCTGACACTTGTTTAAATGTCAAAGCAGCAGCTTATCACTGCTTTGCCGCCATCACACGGCGAGCATCGCTCTATTCTCCAGCTCCACCGCCTCTCCTGCCCCTCCTGTTATTTGTGTTTAGTTCAGCTCAGTGAGCGCACGGCAAAAAAGAACGTGAGAAAAATGACAGAGTAGAGGTCAGGACTGGTCATTTCTGCCAGGGAGAAAGATTGACAATCAGACTGGGAAAATCCATCAGAGGGGAACAGAGATTGTACCTGCTGACTAACTTATTTACCCTGATGTCCCCTCGGTTTCATTTTAATGATACAAAACTTTATATAAAGTAAAGACTCTTCTCATGGTGTAAATATGATGTGTTGGTAAAATACATCCTTGAATTAGATTACCGGTAGGATTTATTCTGCTGATAAGGTCATTTAAAATTCACGAAAAATCTACCGGACACTCTGTTAAAGGTGGGGTAGGTAAGTTTGAGAAACCGGCTCGAGATACACTTTTTGTTATATTCCATGGAATGCTCTTAACATCCCGATAGCAATGAATATCTGAAGTGCTTTGACAAAAAATCCATACAAAATGTCATCTGTGGAAGCCGTAGTACTGTAAAAAGCACGACCAATCATTTTAGCCGGCCCGGCTAAACCTACCTGCCTGTCAGCCTTCCATCTGTGCACACACTTATCTCGTGCCCTCATTGGTCATGTGCGCGTTCGTGTGTGTTGGAGGAGGGGCTCTGTAAGGAAGTGGCAGATTTTTTCCGGCTGTGTATTTTCAAATTCTAGCGCACTCGAGCTGGTTTCTCCAAAATTACCTACCCCACCTTTAAGCATTTTCATATCATTACATAGAACAGAACAGCTCCCTTATTCATTTGAATATGTCCATTGTGGGGACACAGTGGGTTCACAAATAAATGGCAAAACGATGCAAAGTTGTCCAGCAAAAACATTTTTCACTTGCAACATGATGTCAGCTGGCCAGGTGCCTTATTAGCCAATCTGATACACACAAGCTGACATAGCTGGCAGATTTATTTGTAAATGGTGAACTACCTGGCAAGTGCCAGAATTGTCAAATTCTTTCTTATAGTATTATAAACCTCAGTGCTTGGCATCAGAAAAATGTAAGGTATTTTTCTTATCTATGTAAAGATAGTTGTTAAGGTTTTTTAGACTACATCCCATAAAGAATGTGTTTATGTTACAAAATCAATCTGGTTCAGCATGGAGCAGGCTTCACAGGTTCTCCTGGACATATTTGTTGGCGTAAGCTGTACAATAGCGTTTAGATGGCGCCTTAGCCTACAGTACAAATAACACTGTATGTGGCTACTGTAGGGATGTAAATGTACATATTAATTCACACTTGCATTCCCTCTGTACCAATACACTTTATCTAGAAATCCTTAATGCTTTAAAAGGAAAACGTTTGTTGTGGTTTACTACCTTTTTATATCAGAGGTGTTTTTTTTGCTGTGTCGATCAAAGACCTCTGAAAAGATAGAATTGATTGAAAATGAGAAGGATGATAGAAAGCTGGATCACTGTGGATATGTGAGCTGCGATAGTGAGCGTGGGGGTGTAGGCTCCCTGATGTGCAAAAGCAGAAAAACAGTGATGACGCTTATTCCTGTACTTAGAGGTCAGGTGTTGGAGAAATGCATATTTTATTGTGCATGCTAAACAAAACAAAAGCACAGGTATGGCGCCTACGCACAAACGCAGACGCAATCAGTTTCACTGCCATACATCTATCTATACCATTCAATGCACGAGTGTGTACAAGTGCTGCAAAGCCCTGTTTGAAGTACCACATCACAAAAACTACACACCAAGACCATGTAATACACCTCTCCCACGCACTCCAACACAAAGGGCACACACACTAATCGTACCCCCGCACACACTCCTCATCCATCTGCCTGAGGTGTGTGACGCTCTTGCTGCAGCAGTGGCCATGCAACAGATCTATCAATCCTCTTCCTAACATCACAGCATGTGTGCCTGCCTGTCTGCCTTTTCTGGCTGCTCTCCTCCACCACCGCACCACGCAGGCCTTTCAATGAGCCTCTCCATCTTGCCAGCGCTAACTCACTCCCTCGCTCCCTACCTTACTCTATGACACACTCATACAGCCTTCCAGCTACACACACACTCTTTGTGCTCTTGCAAGGGCACACAAACAGTCACCTACAAACTGTGCATGCCGATAAATACTCCAAAATGCTTTGGAAGTTCAGAGAGAATTGAACAGGAAGTTGTGAGAGGGCTTTAGGACTGTCGGGCTTTGTTGGTAAGAGGAGGCTCTTCATCTCTCCTTCTTTTGCTCTCATGCTCCTCCGCACTCTCACCACCGCTTCTCTTTCCCTTTTTCTCACTCGATCTCATCTACTATCTATATATCTGTCTGTGGACTTTCACATTTACCGCAAAAAATACAGCAGAGAGTTGGGGTCTGCATCACAGTCACAGTGAGGCATTGAGAATGGCAGAGAAAGGGAATAGATTGCGGAAACCCAAAACCGCTCAGTTGCCATCCGTGCCCACTAGGGCCTCTTAAAAGGCAGCGGCTGCATTTGAAATAAAGCAGGGCTGACCGAATGGAGGCATTTTATTTTTTCCTGCCAGAGCCCGGAGGCAGAGGAAATGACCTCAGCCCTTTTTTAAAGGACCTCCGTTTCCTCCTCCACCGCTGGGAGATAAGGCTGCGTTGAGATTCACCGGCCCGACTGGCGCTCTGCCGCGCCGGACCACCGCACTGACTGCCGGGGGATGGATGAGATGAGAAGATAGTCTCTGGTGGCTATGTGTTTATTGTTGCTTATTTCTTTGCCCTGTAACTTGCCATCCATTTTGTATGAGGATGTTAAGAAACTCACAAGGGCATTACATAAACTCGCATCTTGAAAGAATTACTGTCTATTTTACTCTTTTAATCATGTGGGTGACTTGATGTAAAACAGGCTCACTTCCTGTTTTGTCCCAACAAATTCGAATCATGTTTGAAGTACTACAAACATTTTATTGTTACAATTAAAGCAAAGTATATTTTTGATTGAATACCCATCTGGGGGAAATGAATAGTTCCAAAGAATTTGCTGCAATGTCCTTGCAACATGTTCTTGAAATGTGATACTCCTTGCCTTTTGTAGACTGAATACATTTTGCATAGCTGGGCTGCATATGTATCCTCTGTGTGGTGCAATTTAAAAGCCTGTCAGATGCTTGACCAATGCAATCTGAAGCAGCCCATGCCCTCACCACAAGATCAGTCTAATGGAGAAATATAGGCAATGTTAGATTGTATAAAAACAGATTTATTGCTGCATCAGTGCCTGAGAGGAGTATTGCATGACTTCTAGCATAAGGGCTATT